GGATCACCATCTTTCCACCATAGAAATCTTAGCAAGTCCCTGTGTTTGGGCAAAACTCTAAACTGGTGGAACATACTTTTCACATCCCCCATGATGGCTATGTTCTCCCTTCTAAATCTACACAATACGCCCAGAAGGTCATTTGTCAAATCAGGTCCCTGTAACAGACAATCATTTAACGATATTCCGTTAACCGTTTCCGAACAATCAAACACAACGCGAATTTTGTCAGGTTTCCTCGGATGATAGATGCCGGTGTGAGGTACGTAATTTATTTTTCCCTCTTCTGCATTGCATTTGGGTACTGGTTCAGCACATTTGACCAAAACGTCATCCATAAAGGCACAGTAATCCCTTTTGAACTTCTCATTCTTCTTGAACCTTCTACCAAGCTGATGCAGACGTTTCAGTGCCATAGACCTGTTGTCTGGTAGATTAACTTCCTGTCTCTTATACACATCGTGGCTGCTTCTGGGAACATTAAACTTAAAATTGACAAACTCACATTTCTGCTTAAGTAAGTACTTGGATATCTTGTCTTGATCCAAACTTTGTTCGGTAGCTTTCATTAATTCATTATTCGCACCAACAAAATTGGTACCGCAATCTGCTCTTATCTGTCGGGTTGGACCACTTAAACACAGAAATCTTCTCATAGCATTGATGAAAGAGTCAGTGTCTAGAGAATTTGTAGTTTCCAGGTGGATCGCTTTTGATGACATACAGACAAACAGCACACCATAGCGTTTTAGTTCCGATCTTCTCTCCTTAATGAGGAACGGGCCAAACAAGTCCACACCTACATATGAGAAGGGTGGAGCATCTGTCACTCTATCCATGGGTAGATCATTCATTTTCTGTGTTTGGAACACACCTCTTAATTTTCTGCAGTTCACACACTTCTGTATGACCTGTCTTACCACGCCCGATCCATTCACTATCCAAAATCCATGTTGCCGTGCATGGTTAAGTGTTGAAGTTCTTCCCATGTGGTTAAGCTTCTCGTGGTAATGCCTCACAATCAACATTGAGATATGACCTTGTTTTGGCAGCAAAACTGGATATTTCACGTCGTATGGTTGGGTCGAGTTCTTAATCCTACCTCCAACTCGGAGTACAGCATTCTCATCCAAGAAAGGATCTAACTTTCTCACTGAACTTGACCTAAGTAGACATTTGTATTCTCCTCGCCTCTTTCTGTCTTCAAAGTTAATTTCTGTCAACCTTAATGTCTGGATTTCTTTATTAAAATACTCTTGTTGAACGAGTTTTATTAACAGCATTTCTCCTCGTTGCAGTTCCTGTACAGTCATAGGATTATTACGAGTCGATTTCTTAAAATCTTAAACAATTTGCTGCTGCACGTGTGGCTTTATACCAACAGGAAAATCTTTCAAAGCGTTTCAAAATCCCATCATCTTCCTTTGCTTTTGTAAGTAGGCTAGTTACATTACTCTTCATTTCTTTCTTAATGTCGGCGACATCACTGGCCTCATAGCAAATATCTTGATCCACTTGTGGAACAAACTCCTTTTCCCACAGAAATGGTGGACCATTTATCCACCTTGAATTAAGACTCAACTTCTTAGCCGTTAGTCCACGGCTGCCATCGTCACTGGGATTGTCCTCCGATCGAATGTACCTCCACTGATTGATATCGGTTAGATCTCTGATGGTTTGAGCCCGATTTGCCACATAAGTGTGGAAACGTTTGGTTTCATTATTTATATATCCCAGGACTACATTACTATCTACCCAGAAAAACTGCTTTGTCATGCCACATCTTAGCTCTCGTTGCAGGTATGAAGACAACCTAGCTGACACCACCGCTGCTGACAGCTCCAGTCGAGGTATTGTAATTTTTCTATTTAAGGGTGTTACCCTGGCCTTGCCTAACACGAATTTTACGTGTGGTGCTATATTCTCGTACACTACCCGAAGGTAAACTGCCACTCCATAACCAGTTTGGCTGGCGTCGGAAAAATAATGCAGCTCCAGAGCTTTGATCTTCTCTTCCTTCATAGGTTTCAGGCAGCGAGTAACTTCTAAACTTTCCAGTTCCTTGACACTGGACCTCCAGAGGATCCATCTTGATCTTAGCTCATCTGGAACTGGGTCATCCCATTCAACACCTTTCCTCAAAGTTCTTGTAAGATGGCCTTTCCTCTCAGTATCACCGGTGCAGCGAAACCCAAAGGGTCGTAAATTGAGCAAATGGTAGAGAGCATGCCTCTCCTTGTCAATGGGACGTCTTTCATCTCTACTCGGAATCGAAATGTGTCATTCTGAACACACCAAACTATACCAAGTGCTCTCTCGAGAGGTAGTGGGTCACGTACACTTATTTCCTTCCAATCCTTTGCTCTCATGTCTTTTGGTATAGAATCTAGCACTTTCCTGCTGTTAGTAATCCATTTATGGAGTGTAAGACCTGCCTTGGCACATAACTTAGTAGTGGAATCAATCAACTTTATAGCCTCTTGCTCTGTGGGAACAGATTTAAGCCCATCATCTACGTAAAAGTCTTCTCGAACAAACTGAGCAGCCGATGACCCAAACGTCTCCTCGCCGTCGTCTGCTGCACGTTTTAGTCCAAAATTGGCACATCCTGGCGAGCTTACAGCACCAAACAGGTGGACACTCATTCTGTACTCTTCTACCCTTTTACTAGGATCACCATCTTTCCACCATAGAAATCTTAGCAAGTCCCTGTGTTTGGGCAAAACTCTAAACTGGTGGAACATACTTTTCACATCCCCCATGATGGCTATGTTCTCCCTTCTAAATCTACACAATACGCCCAGAAGGTCATTTGTCAAATCAGGTCCCTGTAACAGACAATCATTTAACGATATTCCGTTAGCCCTTGCCGAACAATCAAACACAACGCAAATTTTGTCAGGTTTCCTCGGATGATAGATGCCGGTGTGAGGTACGTAATTTATTTTTCCCTCTTCTGCATTGCATTTGGGTACTGGTTCAGCACATTCGACCAAAACGTCATCCATAAAGGCACAGTAATCCCTTTTGAACTTCTCATTCTTCTTGAACCTTCTACCAAGCTGATGCAGACGTTTCAGTGCCATAGACCTGTTGTCTGGTAGATTAACTTCTTTACAGCGCAGTGGTAAAGGCATTTTGTAATGACCATCTTGTTTTCTGACAATACCATCTTTAAGACACTGTAGGAGTCTATTGTCATCGACAGATAAACCCTTTTCGTCATCCCCATGTTCTATGAAATCTCTGTTAAACATTTCCTGTACTTGCTCAGGACAGATTCTTTCTTTCACAGTTGTTTGTACTACCAAGTGATCAACCTTTGGTATCACTCCGTCCGTCAGCGTTCTATGGCACACTGTGCCTTCACTTGTGCTATGCTTGCACACCGTTCCAATTATTCCCCAACCCAAGATTGACTCCTGCGCATAAGGTTGGTTATCATCTCCTGCAACAATGCTCAATGGTCTTATCGCCTTCGGCACATCATTGCCTAACAAGATAGCTACCGGCGCGCCGGACTGAAAGGGCGATATTTTCTCAGCAATGCTTTCCAGATGTTTCCATATTGATGCTGTAGCAGGGGTAGGTATTTGTGATTCTAAAGCAGGTATTTCCTCTCGAGTGAATGCGACAGGTATGTCCACTATTACACTTCTATCAAAACTAATAATCTGCAAATCAGTGATTCGTTGGCAACAAATTAATTCCTTTGCTGCATGCATTGTGGACAATTTAAGATAAGTGGTCTGTCCATTCAGGTTTAGGTCTTCTACAACGTCCTCTCTAACAAAACTAGTGTTGCTTTGGGGATCTAATATACAGTATATAAGCATCTCTTCACTACTTCCCTTTTTCTTTAACCAGACGGGAAGAATCATAGAGTTGTCATTAGTTTTCGCAACATCTCCGCACACTTGGGTGCACTTGGAGTAACCTTCTTTTGGAGACTTTTCACCATCTTCACCCTCGTAGTGTAGACAAGTCAGATGTTTTCTGCCACAATGCTTACAGGTTTTCTTAGACTTGCACTGAAAAGCCCTATGATTTCTTTCTGCACAGCAAAAACACAATCTTTTCTCGTTCATAAAATGCCTTTTTCCTTTGGTATGTAAACCCTCAAAAGCTTCACAACCGTCGAGGCTATGTTTTCCTTCACAATAGGGGCAATTAATTGGCTTGCTATTGCTTACAGCAGTTGAAAAATTGATGCGTTTCTTTTGTGACTTTTCTGTGATTACTTTCTGTGGTTGAGAAAAACACTGAAATATTGGGTTGTTGGCTTCTTTTGCCTTCTTTTGTACAAATGTCGAAAACCTTTCCAAGCTTGGAAATTCCTCTTCTGAGTCCATGCATATGGATCTCCACTTCGACTGCAAATTGTATGGCAACTTTGCTACCAGCTTTGCATTTTCCTGTGGGTAGTTTAGTATGTTTAACTCATTGATACTTCTTTTTGCAACCACTACTTCATTAAGTGCATCAGAAAACCGTCTCAATGCCACTGGATCTCTACCATCTATCTTTGGTACAGATGTCAGCTTGTCTGTAAATGCTTTGGCAATAACAGCATTATTGCCATACCTCTGTTTTAACTCACTTTTTGCCTGCATGTAAGCCTCCTTGGATTGTAAAAGAAGATAGCCTCTTACCATAGATTTTGGCTCTCCTCCTAAGTGCTGTATCAGCAAGTTAAGCCTCTCATCAGGGCTATTGGCCCGTGCTTCTATGAGTGAGTTAAAAGAACTTAGCCACGCGGGAAATTCTAGCGGATCACCTCGGAATATAGGCACCTCTACCTTTGGTATTCTAAAAGAATTAATTAAGCAGGTAATATCTGCACCAGCATTCTCTTTATGCACAGTAGGATTATTCTTAACCTCAGTACTGTTAAAAAACCTAGACACCTTGGTGTCTGAAGATTCCTCAGGCAGGTTGCTAAGCAACTCATCTTGGTCCGAATTCGAATGAGACTCACTAGCAAGATCTTCCCACATTCTAGACTTTGCTTCAGCCACAGCAATCTTTTCTTCATTTGCAAGTGACTCCTTCTTCCTCCGAACTTCTAGCTCTTTAGCTTCCAAAGCCATTCTCTGCTCTGCAAATTTCTTCTTGGCTCTTGCTATAGCCAAGTCTGCACGAGCTTGTGCTGCATTTATTTCCTCTTTTGAAACTCTTGACAGCCGAGAATTTCTGCTATTTACACTACCACGGTCTTTGGTAGAAACCTTGCTATGAATACTGCTATTGTCTTTTATCGACGCTCTGCTATGAACACTGTCAGTTTCTCCTCCTTGTTCACCGTTTTGAGCCATCCCTGAATTGACTTCTTTAAGTGTACTGAAGAGATGTTCAAGTTTACTGCTACTAAGTTTACTGTTGCGGTCGCTGCTTTAGCGCCTCTTAAAGTTGTTTTGTGTCATGTGCTAACACTCCAATAACAAAATCTTCGTACCCTTAGGTTTACTGAAAGTAGTGGCCATTTATTCATCTCAAACCTATGAATATTGATACCGTGTACAAACGTAAACTTAGTGTGGGTACATAGCCTGGTGAACTCGTTCTGCTAAGTAAAACACAAAAGAAAACATTCACCAATCATATAGCCACAAAGATAAAAACCATTAAACAATCATATAAACTGTCAGTGTTATACATGTAAAACGTGAAAGTATCAACAAGCTATTTACCCGTAGCAGCTCTACCCGTACGCACTCAAGCGTGACGCACTACCGCAGTGGCGATTCCTCGCAACTTAATGATGATCATATTTTACGATGATTACTTAATTTAAACAACATACATAGCATCGTATCCGCCTATGGTAATATTATAACATGAATCAATAGAATCACCAAATATCCTTCTTTCATCTAGTCGACGCCTTAATGACTGTTATGATGTTATCAGCAGATAAATTTGAGCAATTAGAAAATAGTTATCATGGTATTACAACTGAATTGAACGTGCATACGACACAGTTAGGCCTTTCGTGTATTATGATCGTTAACTAGCAGCATAGGCCCTAGGCCTATATCATACCTGGGAAAACACCAGGCCTAGGAGCATATATAACATAACTTATTCCATCAATACTGGACTAATCAACAAGTATGTATGTAACACATAAATGTTTAACTTTAACTAACCTTCAACAGTGTTTATAAAAACTATTCTAAACAGAAATCTTTCTTTACGAATATTTCTCTAGCAGCTTGCATTCGGTGGTTCTAGAACATTCCTTTCCTGCAGTAGCGTAGTGCCCGTTACCTTGCCAACACTTTAGAGAGGGCAGCAAAATAGAAAAAACCAATATGCGACAGCAATTACAGACTGTCATATTGATATATTGCTTCGATGACTCCAATTGCGTTGCACTGGCTTTCTTGGATGTCATTGTGCGATGTATCGCCATTGGGTGGTATATCTTCCATAACAGGCCATTCCTTCTGGCTCATAGCCAAGAAATCCGGCCCTGATATCCACTCCTTATGTCTCATCAGATCTTGTGCCTTAAGTCCCCTGGATGCATGGTCGGCAGGATAAAGTTTTCCTGGCACATATCGCCATGCGTCCAATGTTGATCCATCACGAATAACTGCAACGCGGTTAGCCACAAACACAGGATATCTAGCCTTCTCATTTGATATGTATTTTAGAACAGTTTGGCTATCTGTCTAGAATATTGATGGTTCCAACTTAATCGTCATCTCTCTGTGTAATAGATCATCCTGATGTACAGCAGATGCAGCTGCTGTCAATTCCAATTTTACTATTGTGTGGCGTTTCAATGGAGCTACTCTGGCTTTAGCTGTCATGAAACCGACATGGATATTTCCGGCTGAATTTTGTGAACGAAGATATGTAACTGTACCCTATCCATGTAGACTGGCATCGGCAAAATGATGCAATTGGGCGTTGGTTACTTCTCCGAAAAGTTTAGCCTGCAATGTGTATGGCGAACAAATGCCAAGTGGGTCATAAATACCACTTACTACAGACAGCATATTTCTTCTTGTTGCAATCTTACTTACGGTCTTTGCACTGAATTCTAGGCTATCGGACTCGGCACACCACTTTACGCCAAGAACGTGTTCCTTAGGCAAGTGTCCATCAACCTTGGAGATTGTGCTATCCATAATATCTAGGAACCTTTTGGACTCAGTTTACTCCTAGATAACCTCTCACTAAATTCCATATTAAAGTATTCCTTCAATTGTTGTTCCAATGGATCAACTTTACAAAAGTTAACCCTCACTTCCTGCCGATTAACTGATTTTCCTGGTAATCCATACAACAGCCATCCTAAGGGAGACCTTATCGCATATGGTTGCCCTAGTCTTCCCTTGATCACTTTTAATGGCATGGAAACAGCAGGAACGTTTACTCCAATTATCATTGATACCTCTGGCATGCAAACTTCATTGACATTTGGTAATCTGAATTGCTTGAGATGTGGCCATTTGGATAGGTCATTCTGTCTGGGCACATCGTTGGTTATTACTGGGATGCTATCTTGAACATAGACAGAAGGCAAATCAATGTAGTTGGCTTCTAAAATGCTGGCTACCTGTAATTGGTCTGCCACCATCTTGACACTGACCCTGTCTTCTAGGTTCAAAGTCTTAATGAGTAAACCTGTATATGTAGCCTGGGTCTTCAGTTTTCTGTTTAGTTTCTCTGATATGAACACTGCTTGGCAACCATTGTCGATGAATGCATATGTCGTGATTACTTCGTTACTCCTCTTTACCTTTACTCTGACAGGCACAATCGCCATAAGCGGGTTGTGCTTGTCTATACCGCCACAGCCTGTGGATACCTTTTTCACAGACGTATTAATGTTTGGGTCATGCATTACTGTCAGGTGTTTTCCCTTGCATTGTACACATTCAATTTGTGTTCTATTAAGGCAATTTTGCTTCCTGTGACCAGCACGCAAGCATCCATAGCAGAGACCATCTTTAAAACACACCTGAGATTTTTCTTTTATTGACAGCTTTGAGAACTGAGGGCAATTGGCAATTCCATGGTCCAAAGCTTTGCAGTGCGAACAGGAATTGATTGTCGTTGCCATAACCCTTTTCGGCTGTGTTTTCTTATATGTGGTTGGTGATGGTCGTTGCTGATATCCTAGTCCAGTCACTCTTGGGTCATTGATATTTCTGGACTCTCTCCCTACAAACGTCTCAAAATCTTTCAGTTTTGGAACTCTCAGTTCCCTTGCTCTTATCTTTCCTAGCTGCCTGATCCATCCTTTTTGGAGGCCTACTGGAAGCTTTGATGCCAGCATCTTTAAAATTTCATATCCATCTATTGCCATCAGCTCGGGGTATTCTGCTTTGCATTAGAACAATTTGTCAAGAATATTGCAACTTCCTTAGGCTCTCTTTATCTCCAGTTATGATTTTTGGCCAATTTGTAGCCTTTTCTTGATAGGCAGCAGCAATATTTGCAGGCTGTCCATAATCCATTTCAAGTAGTTCTTTAGCTCTTTTATAACCTGCTGCAGGAGGTGTAATTAGTTGACCGTTTCTTATTAGATCATGTGCATCACCACTAGTTGATTTGAGTAGTAATTCCAGCCTTCGTACTGGATCTTCTGTCTTCCACTCTACCAGTAACATGAAATTGCGTGTAAATGTAGTGTATTCAAGTATATCTGCACCACTAAATGTTGGTAACTTTGGCTTTGGGAGACCTGCTTCCTTTTGTTGCATTACAAGTCTCTGTAAGATTTCTGTCATTTTACTGTCCTCAGCATTGTTGCTCATGGGTGGGGTACATGCTTTATCATATTTTAAAGCATTTGGCCTTTGAAATGTGTCTACCGTCTCTTTTTGTAGAGCTTCAGTTGATAAATTCACGGCATCCGCCTCTTGCCTTCCCAATACTCCTTGAATTACTTCATCTTCCTCTTTCATGACTGGCTCATCACTATTCATTAAAATATATTCTGCTACCTTTGCGCTTGGCCCCTGGCTTGGTAATTCTGGAATGTCAATTCCATCATTTTCCTCTATCCGTCCAATTTCCTCTTCTAAAATATCTGACCTGATCTGAGCTGCTGCTACGGCTTCACTCATCTCTAGCCTATCAATTTCCGTTTCAGCTTCCAGTTTCAGCCTAGCAGCCTCGGATTTCCGTTTCATAAACATTTCCCTGGCCTTGGCCACTGCTAAATCAGCCCTCGCTTGGGAAGCAGTTACGATCAGCGACGATATCGCCGATGACTGTTTACTTAATTTAGATCGGACTGACATGGCAATTATTTTAGATTGTATTCTGCTATACAGTTTTTCTGTACTATTCTAGTGCTGCTTATCCACAGACGTCCGTCCCGATCTCAATATAACATATTTATATCTTGAAATAAATTAAATCGTATTACCGCAGGCCTAACCTAGGCCTCTGCTATGATGATCAGATGTGACAGCTAGCCCAGCGCTATTCTGCTATACAGTACTCAGTGTAATCTAGTCTTTCCACTTGACAATACACGACACCCGTCTTTACTGTTATGGCCAATTAATCAATACGGACGACGTTTACTCAGACTGACAACTTCCTTTTATGGCAGTAACGCTTGTACATATTTCATCACGTGTAATCATGGAGTTATTAGTTTAACCATATTCCGTACATGAACTATTCCGTTATTAAGTGGGTTAGTCAGTCAGGTAAAGACGGTTTCGGCCCTGCTACATTCAATCGACCATTATTTCCTTGTTTTAAAACTAAAGTCCAACATAGAGGGCTCACTACTAATATTAACGAACACAACATACGTAGTAAATAATTTTTTCTATACAACCCAGAATCCGACAACATCAGTAAAAACTGAGGTTACATAATTAATTCATTAATAAATTATATTTAATAAAATTTATTCAATAATAACTAAGTGTTTCGAACATCATTGCTATATATCTTTCGAATCTGTAGAGATAAATTTAACCTACAACAATTATAATCTACAACACTACTTCCGACAGCATCAGTGACAACTGAGGATACATAATTAAGTTTATTAATACATTATATTTGATAAAAGTTATTCAGTAATAACTAACCGTTTCTAACTTCATTGCTATATATATTTCAAATATGTAAAGATAAATTAGTTCAGTACTGTTTAATATTTACGTATGCAGTAAATCATATTTTTTTATTTCTCAGTACCTACAACACTACAGCCAACTACATCAGTGACAACTGAGGGTACGTTGTTAACTCTTTTATAAATTAGCAACAGTTAAATATTCACATATGAAAGTAAATAACATTTGTATTATTCTAAGTACCTACAACAACAGCATTGTGAAAANAGTTAGGGTACGCTCTTATTTCATTGTTTTATACCTGCACAATAGGTTAAAATAAATTAGCTACTGTTTAATCGAAACATTAGCGGTAATTCGCATGATTTTATACCTTTCAGTACCTACAACACTATCGCCGACAACGTCAGTAACAACTGAGGGTATGTAGTTAATGTTATCTAAATAATATATTATATTGCTTTTAAATGTGTTATAATACAAGAGCTCTAGTCTAATATTTCCATATGCAGTAAATCCCATTGTTTACACTTCTCAGCACCTACAACACTATCGCCCACTACATCGGTGACAACTGAAGGTACGTTCTTAACTTATTATTTTTATATATTATAAAATTTATCAATAACAACTAAAAATTTCGATTTTAATTGATTTATACCTTTGAGTTATGGCATAAGAAATTACCTACTGTTTGATTTTTCTATGAGCAGTGAATCACATTTATTTATACCTTTCAGTACCTACGACTCTACCGCCGACAACGTCAGTGACAACTGAGGGTAGATTATTAACTTATGAATATGCTTATATTATACTAAAATATATTAATTATAACTAAATGTTTTTGAACCTCATTGTTATATACTTTGAAATATTTTACAATAAATTAGTTACTGATTTTTAATTCACAAGTAATTTCTTTTTATATTCTCAGTACCTACAACACTACAGCCGACAACGTCAGTGACAACTGAGGGTACGTAATGTTGTATATGCTTTAAATTATTATTAATAACTAAATGTTTTGATAATATTATTATATTGCTATGAAATATGTTATAATACATGAGCTACTGTTTAATAATTTCATATGCATTAAATCCTATTATTTATACTTCTTAGCACCTACAACACTAGCGCCCACTACATCAGTGACAACTGAAGGTACGTTCTTAACTTAATATTATGTGATATATGATAAAATTTATCAATAACAACTAAAAATTTCGATTTTCATTGATTTATACCTTTGAGTTATGTCATAAGAAATTAGCTACTGTTTGATTTTTCTATGAGCAGTGAATCACATTTATTTATACCTTTCAGTACCTACGACTCTACCGCCGACAACGTCAGTGACAACTGAGGGTACATTATTAACTTATGAATATTGCTTATATTATACTAAAACATATTAATAATAACTAAATGTTTTTGAACCTCATTGCTATATACTTTGAAATATTTTACAATGAATTAGTTACTGATTTTTAATTTACAAGTAATTTCTTTTTATATTCTCAGTACCTACAACACTACAGCCGACAACGTCAGTGACAACTGAGGGTACGTAATGTTGTATATGCTTTAAATTATTAGTAATAACTAAATGTTTTGATAATATTATTATATTGCTATGAAATGTGTTATAATACATGAGCTACTGTTTAATAATTTCATATGCATTAAATCCTATTATTTATACTTCTTAGCACCTACAACACTAGCGCCCACTACATCAGTGACAACTGAAGGTACGTTCTTAACTTAATATTATGTTATATATGCTAAAGGTTATCAATAACAACTAAAAAATTCGATTTTCATTGATTTACGCCTTTGAGCTATGTCATAAGAAATTAGCTGCTGTTTAAATTTTCCATAAGCAGTGAATTACATTTTTTATACCTTTCAGTACCTAGCTCACTACCGCCGACAACGTCAGTGACAATTGAGTGTACGTTATTAATTTATGAATATGCTTATATTATACTAAAAAAATATTAATAATAACTAAATGTTTTTGAACGTCATTGTTATATTCTTTGAAATATTTAACAATAAATTAGTTACTGATTTTTTAATTTACATTCATACTAAGTAATTTCTTTTTATATTCTCAGTACCTACAACACTACAGCCGACAACGTCAGTGACAACTGAGGGTACGTACTTAATATTGTATATGCTTAAAGTTATTAATAATAATTAAACGTTTTGATTACATTATTATATTGCTATGAAATGTGTTATATTACATGAGCTACTGTTTAATAATTTCACATGCATTAAATCCCATTACTTACACTTCTCAGAACCTACAACACTAGCGCCCACTACATCAGTGACAACTGAGGGTACGTTCTTAACTTATTATTATGTTATATGCTAAACGTTATCAATAACAACTAATAATTTCGATTTTCATTGTGTACTGGCCCGACAATAAAAGACAATATTGCAATCCAGTCGTATAACCGTGTTCACTTTTCATTCGTTGAACATTTATTGGTAACTGTAAAAAACAACAAGCAATAGATGCTAATAAGACATAACCCAAAATTAGTACAAGATGTATAAAATGCAGTACTAAATATATCAAGGATATATGCATGCACCCTATCTTTCTTACATAAACTGTGCTGTCCTCTCAAGACGTATCTAAGATTACTGGCTATATCCAAGATCACTGGCTATCCAGCTGCAAATAATTCAATAATCAGAGTCATGGATGGTACAGAAATTATCTCTAAAATATAATCACATAGCTGGGTGATGCAACAATTTCCAAGAGGATATACAAAATAGCCATTACCCTTTATAAACATTATAAAAACAAAGCTAGGCTAACACCTGGAAATTCCTTTGGTCAGTACACCACTTTTGCTTTTGTTGGAGAATTTGTAAGTAATGATTCTTCCACTTCTTCCAAAACCTATCCGATACACATTGTACCATTTTCCAATGGGCTCGATACATATTGCTGGTACTGCCTTTGTCGACAACCATCTCTTCGACACAACCACTCTTCTGGGTCAACAACATAGACGGGCTTAACACTGTCGCATCTTTTGGGTCCGATGATAATGGTACTAGTGGGCGTGAATTTACTATGGCCATAACTTTAGCCATGAACGTTGCTAGTATTTCATGTGTTAACGTTCTGTGCTTACAAAACAAAAGGAGAAAGTCTAGGATTCTCCTGGTCACACCTATCATTCGTTCCCATGCCCCTCCCATATGAGAGGCATGTGGAGGATTGAGTTTCCATTCTGCACCATTCTTCAGTAAGTATGTCTGCAGGTGTTCATCGTTGATCGCCCCAACGAAATTAGTTCCTTGATCTGACCATAACACCTTAACTTTGCCTCTAATAGCAATGAATCGGCGGAGTGAAGGATGATGTGCTGAGTTCTTCTACGACTTCAATGTGGATAGCCCTTGAAGACAGGCAAGTGAATAACACTCCCCAGCGCTTGCTTTGTGCAATACCACCTCTAGTTCTCCTAGCGGAAACTTGCCAGGGACCGAAGCAGTCTACACCAACTTGGCTAAATGGAGGTCCTGGTGTTAGTCGTTCTTCTGGAAGGTTTGCCATACGCTGAAAACTCAGCTTGCCTCTTAGTTTACGACAAATGACACATTTGTGTATGACAGACGACACTAGCCTTTTGCAGCCTGTTACCCAGTAACCGTCGTCTCTTATGGCACCTTCGGTGAAGTGTCTACCTTGGTGACATACTTTGGTGTGGTAATGGAGAACAATTAGCTTTGCAACATGACTTTTCCCTGGTATCAATACCGGGTGTTTTTCAATAAGAGGGAGGTCGGACTTTCCTAATCTTCCTCCAACGCTCATCAAACCGTCATTGTTCAAAATTGGTGACAGTGCAATCACCGAGCTGTTATTCTGAATTGACTTCCTCTCCTTTAAACAACTCATCTCTTTATCACACACCTGTTGTTGCAGTTCTTTGATAATGAAGATTTCAGCTTACTTATATTTTTCTACGGATTTATGCTGTGTGCACGCATGCCACCCAGAGCATGGTGGTATTTGCCCTTCTGTTCTAAAGGATGATGCTTGATGTTTCAAGTATGCAACAGCTTGTGTCAAGCCTGACCATGATGAAAAGCGTTTAAGTTTCTCTTCACTCAACATTCGCGTTTTGCATATTAATGTCTTACAGTTACATTTTCCTTCTGATTTCCTTATCATTGTCAGGGTCAATGAGAGGAAACGTTACTTGTTCCTCTTCATTAATCAGATGCAAATGCTGGGGACCAGTAAGCCAAGTGCAATTCTGCATTTTCACAGGATCAATATATCTAGTACCGTGATCTGCAGGATTCTGACCTGTCGATATGTAGTGCCATTGGAGTGGTTCGCAGAATGCCAATATCTTTTCAACTCTGTTGGCTACATAAGTATGAAATCTCCTTGTGTTGTTGTTAAGGTAACCCAGAACTATCCTACAGTCTGAATAGAAACTGATACTTTTGGGGGAAAAGTCTAGCTCTGTGGTGACTACTTTGGCTAATTCAGTGGCAAGCACAGCAGAACAGAGTTCGAGACGGGGAATGGTATGACCTTGTCTAGGAGCTATGCGTGATTTTCCTATTATAAATCCAACTTCGGTCCCCTTTACACTGTTTGTCTTTAAGAACGCTACCGCTGCAACAGCCTGCTCAGAGGCGTTACAATACACATGTACAGTTGAATGCACTACTTCTCTTCTTTTAATTTTGTGGTAAGTTCTTGGTACATGCAATAACTCCAACTTCCGTAGATTTGCTTTCCATGACTCCCATTCATATTTAATGTGTGCAGGCAGTGGATCGTCCCAATCTGCTTTGAGTAGCATCATGTTACGGAACAGGACTCTTCCATGCACCAAAGCTGGAGAAACAAATCCTAATGGGTCGTATATACTATTAATGGTTGCTAGAATACCACGCTTTGTGAATGGTTTTTCTTCAGTCAATATGGAATGTGAAGACATCTTCACATAATCTCCACTGTAAGCCTAGACTTCTTTGGAGAGGAGCACCACCTACTTCCACATTGAAATCTCTGATGTCCTTTGCAATTTCTTCTCGATCAAATGCGTTTAGTACCTCTTGGCTGTTAGAAGCAATTTTATGTAGGCGTATTTTGCCACCATCCATTAAAGCAGCCTGCGTTCTTTTCACCAATGATATTGCAGTTTCATGATCCTCGCAAGATGTTAACCCATCATCTACATATAAATTTTTATTGACAAATTCTACCACATCAGGATCAGCATTTTTGATGATGTCTCGTAGGCCAATGCTTACACATCCTATACTCTACTAACGGTTTGTTAATGTCATTTTCTTCATGCCAGAAAAATCTTAAAAAGTTCCTGTGCTCCTCGGCCACTCCAAAACAATAAAACATACTCTCTATGTCCCCACAAACAGCGACACCTTCCCTTCTGAAACGCATTAGTACCCCTACCAGTTCATTTGTCAAATCAGGGCCTTTCAGCAGTACCTTGTTCAATGACACTCCCTGAAAGGTGGCAGAGGAATCAAATACGCCTCGTATTTTATCCCTTTTCTTGGGATGATAAACACCGAATAACGGTAGGTACCAGCATTCTTCATCCTTGTTGAGTGGTTGGGCCCTTTCCGCATGTCCGTTGTCCAAAACTACTTTCATAAACGTAATAAAGTGTTGCCTTTTGACGCAATCTTTGACAAGACTTTTATGCAGTATTACTGCCCTTTTCCATGCCTGTTCTCGGTTATTTGGTAGCCTTGGTCTAGGTGATCTGAACGTTAATGGAGCTGTCCACATATTATTTGAACTTAGCTTTCCTTCAGCCTCCATGATATTGACAAACTGCTTCTCTTCCCTAGATAGACTCATGAAACCCTCACCCTTGTCAAATAGCTCTTCCACTTTTATTTGGTTGGGACATGGGTCCAATGTTGAAGGCTTTCCATTGTTTTGTATAATGATACTCGTTCTGTATGTTCCAATGGAATTGGGCATGTGGGACCCTCCAAGGCAGGTTTCACCGATGATTACCCAACCCAATCGCAGCCTTTGTGCGTACAGTGCGCCCGCCGGTCCAATTATCTGGTCTAGAACATGATGCGCTTCGATGAGGTCCCTTCCTATTAGCAGTGTGATGGAGCAGCGTTCATCCTGCTCTGGAAGCTGATTACACTCAGTCATTGGTGGCAGGTCTAATTGGTCTGTGCCATCCAGATTACTAACAACGAATCCACTAGCATATCTGCCGTTTGCCTGCATTATTCCATTACAGGATGTGAGCGAATAATTTGTTTCTTGATATTGGACGTCAAACAGGTCAAGAAGCTTCTCCGAAACTAGTGACTTATTACTTTGGTCATCAATTATCGCATATGTTCGGACAGTCACTGTTTTATCACGTTTGTGACTGACAACCACAGGAACAATCTTTGCGCATGATTTGCCCGCCATTGCTGTATCGTCTCCACATACTTGTGCGCAGGCAGTGGTAATGTTATGCTGGCGATTGGTATATTCCTCAGCTGCCTGCTCCCCGCCTTGGTGTGAGTGCATTGAGTTCACATGGTCTGTACTGCTGCATTCCTCGCATTTTATTAGCACCTTGCAAGCTCTTCTGCGATGCGATGGATCTAGGCACCTGAAGCATAGGTTAAACTCTTTTAACTGCTGATATTTCTCTTGAGCAGATCCTGTCTTAAATTTCTTACACTCCTTTAATGTGTGCGAGTTTGAGTTGTGTATAGGGCACTTGGCTTTGTGCTCGGGTTGAGTGATGGTTTTCCTAGTAGAGACCCTATGCTCTCTGACTTGATGCGTCTGTCCGGTCAGGGCTGGGTTGTTTCTAACTTTAGCTTGTTTTCTTATAAACTGGCAGAAGTGGCTGAATGGTGGTAGATGACATCCTTTCGTTCTAGGTAGTTTCCAGCATTGGAGACCCATTTTCCTGAATATTGTGAGGTAATTTGGCTAGTATAGGTTTGACTCCAATTGATGAGTCGAAGTAAGACAAGGATGTGCCATATTTTGGGTCAGCTTTTAATGTCTCAATTTCTCCCAGAATGTCAGCTAAATCATACAACTTTCCTACATCAGTGGTAATTTTTGGAAAGCTATCAAGCTTTCTCCTGACTGCCGTTTCAACCCACTCCGGCGACCCATACCTCTCGTCTAGCCTTTTCCATACTCTTCTTAGCCCCAACTCAGGATTGGCTGTGTTGGCAATGCTAATGCTTAACACCTGTTGTTTTGATTGGCCGGTCATATACTTCATCAACAGGTCGATTTCGTGTAGTACAAAGCTTTGATGATCTAGACTTGATTGACATCTTAGTTTATTTACTGTACTGGCCCGACAATAAAAGACAATATTGAAATCCAGTCGTATAACCGTGTTCACTTTTCATTCGTTGAACATTTATTGGTAACTGCAAAAACAACAAGCAATAGATGCTAATAAGACATAACCCAAAATTAATACAAGATGTATAAAATGCAGTACTAAATATATCAAGGATATATGCATGTACCCTATCTTTCTTACATAAACTGTGCTGTCCTCTCAAGACGTATCCAAGATTACTGGCTATATCCAAGATCACTGGCTATCCAGCTGCAAATAATTCAGTAATCAAAGTCATGGATGGTACAGAAATTATCTCTAAAATATAATCACATAGCTGGGTGATGCAACAATTTCCAAGAGGATATACAAAATAGCCATTATCCTTTATAAACATTATAAAAACAAAGCTAGGCCAACACAACCTGAAAGTTTACTGCCTTAGGTCAAAGGTCACATCTTTGCTCGCACAGCGTGAGGGCTCCTACATACACGTTCATGCATAGTGGCTAGACATGCTCATATAGAATCGTGCCATAATAAGCACAAATATCAATAATCAATACTAAGCTAGAGTACAGCATTATCTCTAGCACATAAACATATAGACAATTAGTTTATATAAAACCTATGCAAGTTTTAAACTAACAATTCAACGATATTTACCTCAGAACATAAGGTACCATAACTACCGTTTTAACTAGTTGAACTTAAAGCGCCCCAAAGAGGGCTCACTTCAAAAAACTCATTAAACAACAATGTTAAAGACATTACACATTGATTTACGCCTTTGAGTTATGTCATAAGAATTTAGCTGCTGTTACAATTTTCCATAAGCAGTGAATTACATTGTTTATACATTTCAGTACCTACCACACTACCGCCGACAACGTCAGTGACAACTGAGTGTACGTTATTAACTTATGATGTTATTAATAATATCTAAATAATTCTGATTACATGATTATATTGCTTTTAAATGTGTTGTAATACATGAGCTCCAGTCTAATATTTACATATGCAGTAAATCCCATTTTTTTACACTTTTCAGCACCTACAACACTATCGCCCACTACATCGGTGACAAC